CGGTCTGCAGAGGTGCATTGTGGGAAACTCCCAAGTTCCCCCCACCCCTTTCCTTTCTGCCTCCCTCCCTCCTCTCTGCGCAAGAGCCCCTTCCCGAGGTGTGACTCCAGCAGCGGCCGCAGGACGGGAGGTAAGGGCTGCCTCCCCCCACGATGGCACCCACGGGGTTGGGGGGGGAGGGGGGCAGAGCTGCCAGGGGGGGTGTCCCCCCAGCTCCGGGCAGAGGGACGGGCAGCTCTTGGGGTGACACAGCGAAAGGGAGATGCAGATCTACCTGCTCAAGGTGAGTGTTGGCCGCCTCGCTGCTGCTGGGGTGGGAGGCTGGGGGCTGCCGTGCCAGCTGCCTGCCCCCTTCTCCCTCCTAATGGGCAACAGGGATTATTTTTTTTAACCCAAAAAAGGTGAGGCTGGCCGGTCAGAGCAGCTCCCTTCCCACCCCAGCTCCCGTCTTCTGCTCCTTGAAGGTCAGGCAGCCAGAGAAGGCGTTCCTGCGTGGAGGAACCCGCACCTACCTGCCATCGCCGCCTTCTATTGGGATGAGCTGGGCTCGCCCCATCCCAGCCTGGGTGGCCACTGCTGGCAGTCAGTGGGCTTCCGTGAGGGGGAGGCAGTGGCCCTGGGCTGGAGGAACGGGGATTTGATGCCGCAGAAGCGGAGGATGGCTCGGAGCAGGAGAAGCGGAGCCGGCCATGTGCCGGAAGCGGGGCTGTTGGGAGGGAGGAGGGGTAGCAGCATCCCCGGCCAAAACCTTCCAGGAGAGCCCAGACCCCTCCCCAAAAGGTTTCTGAGCCAGTTTCCAGCTGCATTTCCTCTCCCGTCTGCATGGGGGGAGGGTATTTATTTGCCTTTCGCTCTGCCCTGTCGGGTTTAATGTCTCTAATTGCTGTAATTCCCCCAGGAGGAGGCAGCCCTGGCTGTTGGTCTTCACCTTCCCCAAGGAAGGAGCTGGGGGCTGTTCTGTTGGGCTGGGAGGGTGCTTTGAGATCAAAGAGGGGGTGCCCTTTGATATAAGCCCAGAAAGGAGCTCACAAATGGAAATCTGCCCCCCAAAAAGACCAAAACAGAGAGAGATGGAGTTCTTAAGCTGTGGGGAGAAGGTGACACCAAAGGGGTGGGAGGGAGGAGGACACCAGAGCAGGGCTCCTCTTCTGAGGTGTGTTATTCCAGGGGTGAAATGCACAGGGTGGATGTTCGTGGGCTTTTCCATCTGATGTCCCCGTAGATCAGTCTGTGTCCGTGCCCACTATGTTTGCAGAGACCTGTTGATTTGGTCCCTGCTCCTGCTCAGTTCTCCCTGGCCATCTGGTACCTTCTGAGGGGGTTGGGGTGGGAAGAAAGAGGATTTTTATGCTTGGATGGGGGGGTCAGCCTGGCAAAACTTTGGCACTGGGGCAAGAGGAGGAAGCTCTCCCCATGGCAGCCCGTTTCCCTGGGTGGGGCTTGGGCAGGATGCTGTCAGGAGAAGGAGGATGGACTATGCCGGATTGAGCTCCCCGCTCCATCTCGGGACTGACCTCCAAGAGTCTGACCTTCACAGGTTTGACCTTCAGTGTTTTCCATCTTTCCTTTCTCAGCCTCAGTGCTCAGCACCAGCCTCTAACCCTGCGGTATCGTGGCAGGAAGAGGGGGGGGAAGAAAATCTGAAATTTCTCTAAATGCAGATATTCATCCCTCTGCATCCATCCCCTCTGCTGGCGGGCTGCCAGGATGGGGGGCTGGTGAGCATCCTGGCACGCTGTCCCCATCCTTGGTCAGACCTGGGGACAGGCAGACAGGGCAGAAGGGGGGGCTGGAGCTCTTTGGGTAAGCATTTCTGTGCTGGAGGAGCTCTGGCCATCCTTCCCCAGGTCCTTCCCAGCTTCCTGCAGGGCTGTGGTTTTGCCGCACGAGGTAAGGGATGGGATTTTACCCTGGAATGTGCCAGGAGCCTCCCCGGAAGGTCACTGCCTCCTGCTGAATTGGCCCCTCATCCACCTGCAGTGGCTTCTTGCGTTTCAGCTGCAAAGCAACAGTTCTCAGGCTGACGCCTGCAGATTTGGGGGCTGTCAGATTCAGGACCTGGCTCTGCACATCCAGAATTGCCTCACTAATTTTGTGTTTGTGTTTTTTGTTTTTTTTTTTTCCTGGCCACAGCTGAGCTGTGAAAGCTGGGGGTGATGCCACAAAACCTGGTGCAATCTCACGTGGGTCAGAAGGGATGGGTTCAGGGTGGCCATAAGCTGAAGAGAGCTGTTAAATCTGCTGCTGCTTCTTACTGCAGTGGCCAAGGCTGCTTTACCGTGTCAGAGACAACCCTCCCTCATTTCTGCTTGTGGGTGTTGCCCCTGAGAGACACAGGACCCACCGACTGTGGGGAAGGGGCCTTAAAAGCATCATTTAGAGGGGAAATTGTTCCCCCCTCGCCTTGGTACGCTGCACATCACAAGAAATAGCAGGCAGCACTGCAGGGCTTTGGGGAGCCTGACGCACTGGGGTGATCTGTGAGGAAGGAAATCAGCCTTCTCCCTCTGGGGACCCGCTCCTGGAGGCTTGGGGAGCAGCACCCCAAATTGGACACAGATACCCTCTTGGCTAAAGGCGGTTTCCCAAGTGCTGGCAGTGGAAAGAGCGGGGCTTTGGTGGGAAGGAAGGAGTTGCTCACCCTTCTCCAAGAGGTAAAAGGAGGGATGACCCTGCCACAACGTTATTCCTGAGGTGGCATGGCAGACCCGATGCTGAGTGGAGAACTGAGTCGTGGGCCCATGGTCCCAGCCCTGGTGTTGGGATGGATGTGATGGGAATTGCTTGTCTATACTGGGGGGAAGAACCTGAGCATTTTAGGGGTGGCAGTAACCTCAGGACTCATTCCTTGGGAGAACAGCTGATCAGAGCCCAAAGTGGTGCAGACCTCTGGGTGATGAAGGAGGGGGTGTCCCTGATGCCAGTCTATGAAGCTGTGATTGGAATGGTGATAATTACCTTTACAATAGCAGGGCTGCAACAGGAGGTGGCTGGGCCAGCTTCTGCTGGGGCTTGTGGGCTCCGGTGGCCTCCCTCCTGGTCTTACAGGAGGTACCAGCCTGTCCTCAGGAAGGGATGTGCCACCTTTGGGTGCAGCAACTTGTTCTCCATGTCACAGAGCTGCTGGTGTTGAATTGCTGGGTCTGGGAGAGCTAGAAAAACATTATAAAGGAAAAAAAAATAATAATTAGTGTGTTTGCAAATGCTAAGTGTTGCAAAAGGCGAGGTGTGAGGAGGTGCCCGGGGTGGGATGCAGGGGTGGCACAGAGGTCTGGGATGCAGGATGCACCCAGGTGTGTCCCTGTCTGAGCATCATGTGTGTGGATTAAGGCTCTGTTGAGGTCCATGTTCTTCGCTGCGCATCTGCTGCTGCGGCTCCTGAATCACTGAAACTACTCGGGCGCTTCGATCCAGCGTCCTGCCAAATAGCTGCTGTGGCAAGAAGTCATCCTGGCTGAAAGCCCTTTCCTTCCCTCCCTAAAATTTCTGTCTTGGGGGTGAGTGATGCTCAGTCTGGTCAGGGAGAGGTTTAAGCTCTAGCACCTCACAATTTTTGAAGGATAAAAGCTCCAATATTGCTCCACTATAAAAAATGGAACTGTAAAGTGGAAAAACAGTATTTGACTCTGAAAGGAGCTCAAACCCCAGGTTAAAGCTTGGACAGAGCACAGCAAAGTGAGGGGCTCTGGAATGGTTTAGGTTGAAAGGGACCTTAAAGAGCATCCCATTCCAACCCCCGGCCCTGGGCAGGGACACCTCCCACCAGACCAGGTTGCTCCAAGCCCCATCCAACCTGCCCTTGAACCCCTCCAGGGATGGGGCAGCCACAGCTTCTCTGGGCAACCTGGGCCAGGCTCTCACCACCCTCACACCAAACAAGTTCTTCCCCACAGCTCAGCTCCATCTCCCCTCTTTCAGGGTCAAACCCTTCCCCCTCCTCCTAGGGCTCCCCTCCCTCATCCAGAGTCCCTCCCCAGCTTTCCTGGAGCCCCTGATCTCCTGGTCTCCCCGGAGCCTTCTCTTCTCCAGGCTGAACCCCCCCAATCTCTCAGCCCCCCCTCCCAGCAGAGGGGCTCCACCGTAGGAGATGTCAGGTCCATGCTGGGTGTAGCTCAGTGCCCACCCCTATGGACATCAGTGGGAGCAGTGCCCAGTTCGGGTGACGAGTCACCCCTTTGGGACCCTGTGTGATGGCCACTGGTGGAGGAGGGAAGGAGTGGGCTTGGTTGGGGTGTTTTTTGGCAGCAGCCTGTATGTTTTTAATGGAGTTGTGGGCAGGAAGCTGAGCTGAGCCCAAAGTGCTTTTGGGGCTGTGCTGCCGCGGAGACAGGGCTGGGTTTGTGCCCTGGAAGGAGCTTTTTTTTTCAGATGGTGCAGCAGGAAACATGGAAGAAGGGCTCGCTGTGGGTCTGCTGAGGGGCAGGGTGAAGCACCAGTGAGCCCCCCTTCCCTCCATGCTGCAGGTTTGAGGGCAGAGTTGGATGGTTTGACCATTCCTCATGGTTCTTAGTGCTTTATTTTCACGTAGGGTGAGAGAAGAGAGCAGAACCAAAATGTGGGGTGTGTTTTGTTGCTACCTACATGGCTGTGCACAGGCAGAGGGCCTGAACTGTGCGGGTTAGAGCTGCGTTTTGGGCTTAAAAATACTAAAAAAAAAAATAAAATTAAAAGTAAATCCCCTGGCAGGAGGATGGCGTCTCTGCAGTGTCACCTCCATCTCTTGGAGAATAAAATGTTGGATGCGTCCATCCCAGTGAGGTCTTTGGGGTCAGGACAAGATGTGACACTGGGCTCAGATGTCACCTCCCGCAGAGGTCAGGGTGTAGAAAAAGGCCATTTTTTCCTTTTTCTGGGGTGGTGCTGGTGGGGGGGTGTCTCGGGGCTGGCCCTGGGGCTCCGAAGTGCTGTGTCACCCGTGTGGGGAGCGTGACAGGGCAGCCTCTGGAGGGGACACTGTCACCTGTGTTGCAAGCCAGGACTTTGCCCCAACTCCATGCAGCTGGTGGCCCACTGGGGTGCCCGAGATCTGTGTCCTGCAGCCCTTCCCTGTGTAGATTTAAAGCAAAACCCAGTTTTGCTGGGCTTCGGGGTCCTGCTCCCACCCCGTGCCAGGTACAACCCAACCCCTGAGCACTGTTGTCACCCAGACTAGGAGAGGGGTGACAGGTTTTGGTGGCTCAGGGAGCGAGGGGTAGGGTCCTGCAATCTTGGCCACGCTCTGGGGGCTGTGACAGTGGTGATTTTGGTCATTGCCAGCACTGGTGGGACATGTGATGAGCGCGT